ATTCTTCTCCGCTGTTTATTTTTCCCATGGAATTTCTTTTACTACACTTTTTGTATTCAATCAATAGCTTGTCAAACTTAGTGTACCTGCTGTAAATTGAGAAAAGCTAGAATCTATGCATAATTATATTCAAAAAAATTTTTTCCGAGTGACTTTATTCGCCTGATTTGAGTTTTAGTCTCGCAGCAGACACAAACCTTTCTGCTACATCTACCCACTGAAATTCGAAACTCATGGGTACGTCATCGTCTTTGGGGTTAGAAAATAACGAAGGAAACTTGCATTAATGTGCTTATAATATGCAGGAAGGTTAGACTTCCACGCGGCTATAAACGTTGCACTCAAAAGTGAGTAAATGGTACAACTACGGCATCAAAACCAACATGTTTCACACCATCAATCTACGACCACTACAACTCTGTATTCTTGACACTTTAGAATATTCATACAGAACTTTAAGACCTATAACATCTACAATTAACCTTTGCTGTTGTAATTTCTTGAAGCAATCCAAATAAAAATATTTGTTGCATTGGCTGCCTATATGCTTCACCTACTGGGACGCGTGTAGCGTAATGGTTAGAGGCGTTCCGCAGTGCACATTAGATCGATCCTCCCGCCTCGGGCTCGCCAAGCCCTCCATGCTTCCGGGGTCCACAAATTGGTGCCAGACTTTTATGGGACGATAGCAGCATTGACTCGGTACATTGGTGGTCCATCGCGAGTCATTGTATAATCCAGATATGCATTTAATCACCTCTAACGATGCTTGATGAAGTTAAATGTACGGCGCATCCCTCAAGGATTGATCAATGTCGAGAGCCTTATCAATCCTTTTTTATTCCTTTATGCTTCACCTGCTTGTGTGTACTACAACTGATCTCACGTCACAACGACCTTTACAGTTTTTCGTAAAGACCAATATAACGTGCCTATTTCATTGACTGTTGATCACGATCTCCCAGATCACGGCCGTATGAGAGTGTACATACGTAGAAGACCTTAGAGGATAAATAAGTGGCAGGAGTGGTCAGTTATCGTTACTCACCCTTATCGTGTCCACCTAGTTAATCTCCTTTCAAAAGTTAACAAACACCATCCTCAAATAGAAGTATGCTGGTCCTATGTATCCAAATAAGAGGAGATCCCCGAAAAGAACAATAGCGCGTTCGTTACCCACCGCATACACCTGCGGTCCGGAGTTTTGCAAATATCTCAGCATTATATACGAGTTATATTTCGCAACATACCCTGCCATTAAAAAGAATAGGTAGTAAATAAAGAAAAGGTTAAGAGGAGATCGTCTACTCCAAATTGATTATAATTAAAAGTCCAGTAGTCATAAGACATGAAATCGTCTGTCTACTCACTACAGTAACCATTAATTACCTATGACATCTACCCAACATCTCATCCTCATCATCTTCCTCTTTATCCTCCGATACACTTCAGCTTCTTTATCGACAGGTAGCACAAAAGATTCTATTAATCCACTCTCCGCGAGCACTCAGCAGTAAACGAGGTTGAATTTGTCTTCCATTAAGATGTCTTAAGTCTACACAATACAATTCCTGACCAATTATTGATTGCTTTATTTGTAACGATTACGGTGATTCAAAGCCATCGTATGAAGTCGATGAATAACGGAAACATTAAAAGGATAAAGGATAAAAGATAAAGCTCTCGGCGTTGATTAAACCTTTATAATCCCTTAGAGATATGCCATGCATTCGACTTCATTAAGCATCGTTGGAGGTGATGGAATGCATATCTGGACCTTTACAATGACTCGCAGTAGCCTACCGATGTATCGAACCAGTGCTGCTAATCCTCCTAAACAAACCTGGTACCAATTTTCTGAGCCCAAAGGGATAGAAGGCTTGGTGGACCATAGGGGTAGGAATCGATCCTATGTGTAACGCAGGGCGCCTCCGATCACTGCGTCACACGCGCCCTTAGGAAAACATTAAAATATACCGAGACGTACGTTTCATATCTTACAAAACTACTACTTCATGGGCTGACAGCAATGTGTTTACCTGAAGGAGGACTTTATACTCGACCACAAACAAGAGCTGGATATGGTTCAAAAACATGGAAAGGTGTATGAAAGAATGCGGGGAATCTACAAAGCGTACAACATCTGGCACTGACCAATCTTTAAGGGATGCCGCCAAGTATTAGATTTTATCAAGCATCGTAAAGGTAACTGAATGCATACCTGGTCTATACAACGATTTGCAGTCGCCTACCGATTTATTCAAAGCGGAATCGAATCGGCGACCGATCCCGTGCACATAATTGAAGGCATCTCTAACTACTGCTCAACCTGGGCTATCGCAAAAAAAAGCATAGACCATAAAAATGTCAAAAATGAGCAGCGAAAGTTATAACTAAAAGACGGATTATCCGTTGAAGGGTAAATGGTATGAGTCACAAATGACTCACAGCGTCTACGACCAACAATTACGAGACCTACGTGCTACCTACAGAAATTCGCGTGTCGGCGCCAGTGGGTTAATCAAACTCTACAGCGCACCACCACTTATTTGAACACTCAACTCAGAAGCTATGTGCATACAACAGCAAGAGTTACATAAGCCCCGACCATTTTCGCTATTCTGACCACATAGTTCTATCGTCTCATAAACTAGGCATCATTCACAAGCCTGAATTCTACGGTAATCTTACCCAATGTTCATTTACCGGAAGACTGACTCTTATCCTCCAACTAAAGCTCAACAGAACGACCACATACGAACGTTCTAGCTGAGTATCCTATTCGGAAAGCTCCTTTGGTCAATGTTTTGAGCTCAAGAACGCTACAATCATCGGAAGAAGAAGCATAGATAAACCTAGTAAACTGCTATTTCCACATATAACATTACTAGTACGCATGAAAACTAAAGAAATTGAATGGTCGAGATCCACAAAAAGTCATCTGAATAAGAAATAAATAAAGCGATCAGTACTCGAACAACAATTCAGGACCTGTCAGAACTTTGTTTAGATTTGTTAGAAAAGTAAAAGCCTGACGATACAAACAAGGCGCTTCTGCGGCACTGCATGGAAACCAGTTGCTTTCTCCTAGCTTTCTCTTGCACTCCAGCCGGAAAATCGATAACACTTGGTGTTACACAAGTACACTTTCGCAGTAGTCCCTTCCAAACAATAATTTTCAATGGAAGAGGAAACGCTTATGAGCGACAAAAACTCCTGAACAAAGCATAATCGATACAGTACAAGTTACTGTTAATGAACGACTGCAGTTCGCCTGGGTATTATGCAGTGATTTAAGAACAATGACAAAGCACTTGTTACTAAATGGACCTTCTTCTGTATTGAAATTTGTGACTTCAACTAGTTTAAGGTTTCATCAAATACATTATTCATCCGAACTTCGGTCAATTATTGTGAAAAGTACTGAATCAATCAAAACCACCAGCGCATTCTATAACTTACAACTAGAATAACAATCGTAGTACAAGCCCTATTCCTATATTCCTATATTATAAGTATTCCACAGCTCTATAGAATCGGCGTGAATACATAGGAATAAAGTGGAAGCACAGTAAATGTCTTCTACTTTGGACACACCATTCATGCTGCCCCTTTCCACTACTGTGAAGTTTACTTTATCACCACTATCTAACAGGCAATTATTCGAATTTGAGACGGAACGTAACGAAATATTACGTAGTAGACAAATAAAATACATAGAAAACTCTTACATGAACGGCAGTGGTGATGCCGACTACAAAAAAAACGGAGATAAGGTCAACAGAACTTAAGCCAATGTCCCCTAACTTAGAAAAAACCATAGCCAATATAACAAAGTAGGATAGCCAACGTATAATTAACCAGACTACCATTACGTTAAAATCCAAATTTATCCGCTTAAGAACAAAATACGATAAACGTTAGTGTTACGAACAACACACTATCTCTCGTTTGCACAAAAGAATCAGTGCACAAGGGTAGGAGTAAAACCGCATGCGTTACTTAATATAATAGATCTGGTGCGATCACAGTATCGAACAACTGAAAATAAGACATCTATAAACAACTTTACAATAACACCAACAAAGCAACCCCTGCAGCAAATAAAACCATGAAGTAGATTGAACCTTCGACTTCAGGCAATAGCGCTCGCCAGCAACTCTGACACATCTGACTGCTCGCATCTGAAACTCACTACTAAGAGCAAAAACAGAATTACTTTTATATTCAAGTAGTCACAACAGAGTGCTGAGACAACAGAGATTGCGCCTGAAATCAAAATTGTTTGTAGTTTGAAAGCGAAATCAAAATTGTTTGTAGTTTGAAAGCAATGCTACCTTCGTGTACTACAGATAAACGATTGAGCTACAAATCAAACAGTGATGGAAAACAACAATTCCGCTTAAGATTTCGATTTAGAGCGATTAAGAAAAGTAAAGCGAAAACGTTCCCAAAAATTCAGCGGTTAAAGAGCGTTTACGTATAGCATGAATTTGGCAGAAAAGGACTTGAGAAAGATTTCTAACTTCTCTCAATATTTAAAGAAACTATGCTTCAGAGGAAAGTAAGATATGGACACACTAAATATAAACAAGCATAGAAAAACTGTGCCCAAGTAAGGAATGGAAGTGATAAAAACGCAAAATTAAACAAAACTCTCACCGTATTTGAATGTTCATATTAACCGATCGATCCACAGGATCAATTGCAACGTTCAGTCGAGCGAGCACCTTAACGGAAACAAAATTAGCTTCGGTACTGATTCATTCGCGTTCACAAAAGTTCCTCTGTAAGCTTGACGGCTTGACATACTTACAAGTATAAAACATTTTGGCTTATTGCACTAAGAGTATATATATATATATATATATATATATATATATATATATACATAATATACATATAATATTTCTAAAATGCCAACGCTGTTCGTTCTCAAAATGAGATAAACAAATGTCAGCACGATAAACAACTGAAAACGTTTAATGCAAATGTGGCAATTAATTAACGATGCACTCATAGACAATTACTAGGATACTTCACTATTGACCCGTGTTCACTGGTTGGGAGGGTCCCAGCATAATTTCAACTTTTTCAGAGTTTTACTGGTTTAGCCATTGTGGTCTCCTGGAGTCCCGAGGTCAGCAAGGCCAAAGTCTGCTCCAGATCGTCACCCCACAGGCAGTCGTCAAACTTGCGGATCACACGGAGATTTGCCACCATGCGACTAGTTTGATAGCAGGAGTGTAGTGATTCTTGGCATTGGTTTATTTTTTGCTAGGTTTCCTGAGAGAAACGCCGGACTTCTTCTCACCTTGGATACCCTGCCGGAAGGATGAACTTCCCCAGTGTACATCGCAGCCCGATACCCAAGAACACTTCTCAGCCATGATGTGGCTGTAGGCCGTTAGGAGGCTTCACTGCGAGAAAAAGGAAAAGCTTAAAAAACCTTTCTTAAACATAGGAAAAGAATAATCTAAGCGATAAAAAAAACCTGGATGTGACAATAGGTTGTGCGAAAGGAGAAAAAAATGTTGAAAAGTTAGATCATTCCCAATCAGACATAAGACTACCTCACACAGTTGTGTCGACACGACACAATTAAGGTGTATAACATTTCGGCCGAATCACAAGAACAAACAAGCAAGAAAAAAAAGGAGTAGAACAAAGAATAATGAAGGACACTAGGCTCATGAAAAGGTTCAAAGGATGGAAAAAAATACCTCAAATCCACCACGGAAAACTCCCGCAAGCATGGTAGAATGTTGGGTTTTCCCCTCTGGAATACGATCACTACGTTCACATGGCATCATTCCAAGAAGTTCCGATACCTAAGCAATACTTATCATCAATAAAATAAAGCTTTGGAATTTTTTACCCATCCTAGTCAAATCACTGGGGTTTCTCTGCATGTTCATACACTAGTAATATTATTATATTTCCATAACTCTTCTTCTTTATTGTCCAACATCAGTTTACCCACCTTTTTAACAGCTTCTGGTAAAGTACCAACAGTTGTCAAATGGAAGGTCTCGTCAACAGTTGCTGCATTCGATAAGGCTTCCCATGATGACATAAAATTTTGCTTCGAAATCGGGGCCACTAAATCACTTACGGACAATTCGAATTCCTCCAACTGAAATAGGCGAGCTTAAAACACTTAGCACTAAAGAAGATCGTTGACAAGAGACTTTGAAAAAACACATTTTGGGAAGCAAAATCTCACCACATAACTATCTTCATAGGTATCGTCCGATTCCGCCTCTCCAGTGACTGGATCCACATCCTTCACGTTGAACTTCAAAGTTGCAGCGAATGTGCCCGTAACAGAGCCTTGAAATATGCTGCTAAGATAAATAATAAGATAATTTCATGGCTGTTAGATTTAATATAGAAATTTACACACTTAGGCTGGGTGCGTACGCAAGACATTCGGACAACTAAACTTATTCAAAGCATTTTATTGTCAAGAAACTAGTATAGCAGCGTTCATGAGACTCGCATGCAAATTTTGCGGTGCTTTCAGCCTTCTCTCACCTAATCGACAAACTGAATGCTAGTTGACAGTGGTTTCTCCTAGAATTCCTGTTTAGCCGTGCTATGGAAGTTCTAGGTCTTCGTCAAAGGCCTAACCGACCTTTGTGTGGCCGGAGTGAGGTTTGCTGGCGTGCCACCACTTTACCATGACAGCTATTCCAGCGGTGATAACACTATCTACGATTAGTTGACGGATCGACGGAGGACGGTTTAGAAAGCCAAATGGCATTAAGTACTTTTCGTAGTTTTCCGACATCTGCCTAATAACTGTTAGTGATAACGCATTTAGAATTAAAGACCACGAAGAAAATTAGGAACATCTGAACCCGCTTTTCCACAAAAGTGGCTGGTTCCTTTTAAGATTTTCAGGGCAGAATTTATAATATCGGCACAGCCGTAGTTTTGCTAAATCCATCAAAAGAAGCAAGATAATCTTTCATGATGAAAATAACAGTACGACTACCGAACAGATACTTTTGTCAAACATTAATAAAATGTGTCAGTTCTCACTTGTTTTTACTGGCCTCACTAACCTGATTCTGGGAATTCTAGAAGCACAAAGGTGGACTTGGTTTCGTTGTATGGCAAACTATCGATGGGAACCATATCCACAATTGCCCAATCACCATCTACATCATCCAGCTGGACTACAACGTTTTCGAGCAGTTGATCATTGAGCGTATTTTTGCAATCGAACTAAATCGAAACCTTCTTTATAAGCCACTTCAGAGCAAGTTAACGACGAATTATAATGGACAGAAAACTTAAATATTCATGACATAGATAACTAAGAAAAGTCACTTAGAAATATGCTTAGAATTAAATACAGTAAATCAGTAAAGTCAAATTGCGCCTATCAGTAAAGCATTTTGACCACCCTTATAAAATTAAAGTGAATGGATCTCAATAATGTATCAAACTGCCAGACCTAATTTCTGTTAACCTCGGCGTTGATCAATAATTCACTGTTTTCTTGATCAGAAGACAAAAGGTTGTTATTACATTAGACTGTTCATTCACAATAGCTAACGTTTCGGCGGTTCCGCCTTCTTCACAGTTTGGAAAGGCCAAATTGACCCACAATCCACTCAACCAAACAATTTCATAACCCAGTCAGAAAAACAAAAAAGAGCAAAAGGAGGAAATCCTGAAGTCGTGTGAGGCCAACAGCCATTTCCAGTACAGGTTTAAGGAAAGAATAAAGCACCTAAACGATAACTCTAACAAAATTAAGGTCCTGTTCAATCCGTCCTTCATTCCCAACGAAATGAACGCAGCTGTAAAACGTTTCCTAAGAACGTCTAGCTAAGAAAAATCGGTTACAGCGATTAAAATACCAGTGAATACTTTAAGACGTTAGTTAGTTCGTAATCGCTTCCGTGATTGTTCATGTGAGATGCACAAATGCATAATTTGCCCCAACGGAATAGACGGTGATTGCATTAGTTTGGGTACGATGTACCTGATCTCTTGTAAAACGCATAGGGCCGAATATGTTGACGAAACAAGTAGACCACTTCGCTTCAATATAAAACAGCATTTAGTTAGGAAGCTTAAAGTCGAACAAAACACTCCACAAGGCTCGCATGGGACGCAAAGATATAACAGAGAAGATTTTGAAGTAAAAGTCACTCCCATCGCGGAGGAACCTCGGACGTCTGGTCACAAAACTCTTATGGCATTTCGGATAAATTCAAAAAATTCAGAAATGAACAGCAGGGAGGAGTGCTTTTGTGGTCACAGTGGTCACAGATGACCTCGCTTCCCGCCACTATACCTCAGGTCGATTTTTTAAACTTAGCTAAGCACATTCCTCACCCGTGTAAGACTCTATGCAGTTGCGGCTGGTGCCCATCAAATAACTGGACATACAAAGAACAAAACTGTGAGTATTTAAAAGAAGCTTTTCACCATGCGACCAAAAAGTACGTGTTAAGTATTACCTGCTGAGCTCATAAAAGTATGAACCTCATGAATAAATTGATCGAGTGCCAATTTGATCCTTCCAAGTTCTAAAGAACGTAGAACCGCTGACACATCAGCTATTGTGAATAAATAATGTGATGACAACCTCGTGACTGCTCATCAAGAAAAAACACTGCACCTCACTAAGTTCAAAACAGCCAACAACAACTTCAACTTTGGATACTTTGCTAATGAGAATCTTTGAAGATTCTCTCCTAAATTTATGAATTATGCAACACTATTCAGGTAGCAAGCTTCCTTAAAAAAATAAGGCTGAAAGCTATGAATAACACTTTAGATGACATTTCTAAAATGTTCATAAATATCATCTAAGTTAGATAACTTGATATAGCTAACCTGAACAACAACGTGGTTCATGAAGACATGCTTGATGGCATTAACGGTATATTCTGTTACGTCATCGGTAAGGGCGATACGAGCTGACGAATGGAATAATACTCCCAGGTCCGCAAACTTTGGAATTTGAGATAGTTGTTCTAAACAAAATAAAAATTAGCTGAACCACTGTTCTGTTTGATAAACAAGAGAGACCCAGCACTAATTGTGACGTATAACCCTTTATGTTAATCATTCATTGTATATAGAACCTTCACTTCCAAATATTTAAAATTTGGAACTAATCACAAACATGTTTCAAAAAAGTCACAAGGAAATGAAACCTATGAAATCTGTTGGTCCTGAAGATCTCCTAAAGTTCTTCGTCTTACTGCACCATTTAGATTAAGAAACATCTCCACTAGGAGTTGATGAATAGGAACAGCTCTTTGCGACCCCAAGTTAACGAGTAATTCAGAGTAGGATCCAAGAAAACTAATGAAGAAATATGGGAAACAGAAAAGTGCCACCAAAATGGAACTACGAACGATCCGCACACATGCATTCTCTTGTTTCGTGCAAAGAACAGCCAGTTGAGCACAACATTCCGTACAAAGAGGACGAAAGGACGAGGAAAAAACACTTGTTTGAAAACTTAGCGATGTTAGATTAAACCCGCTAGGGAACTGAAAGCAACGTCAAGTAATCAGTATTAAACGATTTCATCAAAACGTAGAAGAGGAGAGATGGGAACAGCCACTGACAAGATTCTTCACCATGGAAAATGATATTAGGATACTTTACGAATGAGAGAGGATCTCACCGATAAAAGAGCAGACAACAACTTTTACAAGCAACAAACTGGTTCAAAGACAACTTCACTGTTCAATTAAAAATATTATCAAAACATACACTTCTAAAGTCCATGACGACGAAATTCCCAATCAGTTTTGCAAAAGTCTAATATCAATGCAATAGCCCTGGTTTATAAATGTCCGGAAGTCCAAGCAACGAAGTTATGAAAAGTGTATATTGCATCACTGGCTAAACACATAAATAGCCGGCCCAAATGATTTGCATGTTTCTTCTTCGATTGGTTCCGTTTGCCTTGAAACCGTCATCCATAGTCGTACAGTGTGTATGATTTCGGCTGTGGTCTAAGATTCTCCCTTTTTCCTGACTAGTATCGCTCGTCATCAATCCGTCCTATGAACAAAATAACGGTTTTGGGAGTAGAGCCTCCCTGGGTCCTCACTAAAGGCATGTGTCAGCACTTGTTAATCCGCGAAAGTTTGTTGCCGCCAGGATTCCTTCTGGTTGAGATTAATCTTGCGATCCTCCTACTAGTCAATGACCAATAGAGGACGAAATAGGAACATACAGCTGAGATGATATGATCATTTAGTGATAGAGGCTTGACCATCTACCTCGGCAAACCAGAACAAATTGATGCCAAGCGACGTTACTACATTCGAAATAAATGTTCACGGTTTATTTAAGGTTGAACGAGCTGCGCTACGAAACTCAATTTCACCCACCATATCCGTCAAACCTCTCACCCATTGCGAGAAGTCCATCAGAAACCAAGCTAAAGTCGAAGCTACCTTAAGTAGCTTCATCACCAACAAACTCCTCAGTAATATTTCGAAACCGATTTTCTTTGAACCTTGGCATCACTAATCAATATGTATTCTTTCTTTGATGAGCTCACACGAGGTTGATAATGATATTTATTTCCGGCTAACGTTTCGACGTCTTCGTCTTCCTCACAGCCGATGATCCAAGTCGATGGTACACGCTTGTTACTCGTTTGACGTGGCAGCTTTGTCTTCGTGTCGAGCCAGGTCTTCTTCAGTGAGCCATCTCCTCGAATGAGGAGAACGAGGACCATCGACTCGGATCATCGGTTCTGAGGAAGACGAAGACGTCGAAACGTTAGCCGAAAATAAATATCATTATCAACGTCGTGTAAGCTCATCAAAGAAAGAATACATATTGTTCACGGTTTAGCTAAAACTACGACTTAACATATTACATCAAGACTACGTTGGTAAGGGTACACGTCGAAGTGACTTGTTAGTGTCCGAAAAAATTGCCCGAAATAACGGTCATAATTAAAGAAACACTCCATTAACAACGATGAGTGGGAGTAAATTTAAAAAAACCAAATTTCTGTAGAAGCCTTTCGATTGCAATACACAATCCAATTTAATTACACTGTAATTAAGACCATTGCTTTCAAAAACGTTGAAACTAAGCCGTTGGATTGGAGTCATCAACCGATGAAATACTACTGTACCTGCGTACGGCTCTTTCTTAATCTGTGTCGGTTTTTCTACAGTCATCACGTCAGGAAGTATAGGTGCACGTTTCTCTGATGTAGACAACGGTTGACTCGTTACTGGTACCACTTGTAAATTAAAAGGAGCATTGAAGGAGTCTCCACGTACGTACTCAAATAAGCAACGCTCCAAGCTTGATGGCATCACCTAAATTAAATGTGGCACATATAACTCATGAAGTGGAGTATGTCTCACAATAGGCGCAAACCTGCAGGCCATCTAGAACAAAACTGTTTATAACGGATGCAGTAGCTTCGGTAAGCAAGGTGAGGTAGAAGGTGGCTCGGTCGCGAACCTAAGATATAACTAGAGAAAATGTCTGAAAGTTTCCAATTTTTGCACAAATAGATTTTTTTCCTCAAAATCGAAATAATCAAGTCACGATGTCTAATACACAAGTTTCGAATAAGATCTACATATAGAAAGGATTTGCATTAATAAATCATACGGAATTCAGGAGAGACATCACAAGTCTTAAACGTCATATATGACCAACCTCATCATCGCTATCAAGAAGGCATCTCTTTAGCAGTACTTGAATAGACGGACTCAGCTCGGCACATTGTGCACCAAACTTGGCTAAAGCTGTCACAGCGGCTGCACGAACCTGCAAGGGAACAAACACATTCCTATCTCGTTCCAGAAATGATCGGATAAGTGATAAAACCACACACCTTAGTACTCTCTAGAATGACGCGATTGTAAATGAATCGAATGTAACTCGACGGATTTGGTGTTTTTGGCGCTTCCCTACCCAACAGATGCAGCACTCGCGTTGCCAAGCTATCGTGTTCACAGTCTTCAATGAACTCACACAAATGAGCGAGACCTGCAAGATGGATAAAACAAGTTACCTGCAAAACAACAATTTCGGATGTCAGAAAAAAACAGAGACTTTGCAGCCATATCGAGGTTTAGGGTTACGTTATTATTGCTTCTTACACAACTGAGGGAAACAAGTAACTCTATCGCTGGGAGTAATCATTCCGGAGATTATTTATTAACTTCGTACTTTTTTCCCAGCAGATATAAGGGAGAATTTGGCCGCTTTTAGTTCGTTTACAGCCTATTTCAATGTTGTTCCTTTAGTGGAGTCGTTATATCGAGAAGATTATGAAGATATGAGGATAACACCGGTTTTGCCAGTTCTTTTTTCCTCAATGAAAATTTATGCTTTTAAGTTGTTGTTGTCGAAAGCTGACCTAAACAAATTATTTCATATATTCTGATACAAGCTTCTTTCAAAGTTAAAATGCTGTTAAATTAGATGAGTGAAGTAGAAATGCAGGCGAGCGAGATTTGAGTAATTCTGCTGCACGACCTAAAATTTGGAACAAAAGCCAAGGAAATAGTTTGTTATACAACCCGCCCTCCTTCTCCATTTAATCACTAAGTTGCTAACGAATAAACGAATAAATGACTTGAAGAAGGCCGCCAACGAACCACTAGCACCAATACTTGACGTTATTTCTAGCGGATAAACCCATAACAATTCGTCGACAGCACGTGGCTGAACAAGACGTAGATAAAACAACAATTTCGGAACACAACCGACTTGGAACACCTCAGCCAACAAGTGGAAACTCGAGAAATGGATGTTGCATGAGTTCAATGGCAGCAATGAGATCTTCACGATGACATTTGTTCTGTGATTCTTCAACGTCGCAAAAATGATCCACTCCTTGGTCACATGTAAGAAAGAAAGAGGAAAGATTATGCACGATAACCGACATTTTGTTCTTTTCTATCCAATGGTTGGATAAAAATAAAACACCGAAACAGTTTACGAGCTAAAACTTCTACGTCATTACCGTCATTGAGGCAATTTAACGTACTGCATATAGAGTGACTCGTTATTCATTACAGAACTTCTAAGAAATATTGTTGGGAGAACTATGAAATACCTCGATAACAAGAAGTTCTGCCCATGAAAGCTATTAATCAATCACAATTAACCAATTCCGAAGATAGATCCTCAGTTAAACATGGGAATTATCAAGTTAACATATCCTCTCGAACTGTTTCAGATGATTCTGAGATATTTGCAAAACTCCGGACCGCAGGCGTCTGCGGTGGGAAACGAATAGGCTATTGTTCTTTCAGGGAAGTAACGCGTTCACCACCACACCATGTGTGTCCTTCGTTTTGCCTGTCTCTCAACTAGTTTTATCGATCTTCTGCCATCAGCAATCTCAGCATCATTGAAGTTTTATTTCGCAATATGTATCCAGCCATTAAAAAGAATAGGCAGTAAATAAAAGTTAAGATTGTGATTATAACTACAGCCACGGCTTAACTGAGTTCAATGCCGATTTGGACTCCCTAGATCAATCCCGTTGACGGGTGAATGCTGATGGCAGAAGATCGATAAAACTAGCTGAGAGACAGGCGAAACGAAGGACCCGCATGGTGTGGTGGTGAACGCGTTACTCCCCGGAAAGGACAATAGCGCGTTCGTTTTCTACCGCAGATAACTGCGGTCCGGAGTTTTGCAAATATCTCAGCATCATTTAAGTTATATTTCGGAATATCCACCCTGCCATTAAAAAGAATAGGCAGTAAATAAAAAAGGTTAAGATTGTTTCAGATGAGTTAACAATGAGTTATAACCACGTCATAGTTCTAAATGCTTGGTGTTTCTGGCAACGTAACCATCTAAAGAACCTGGAGAGGAATATGTTACCATGTAGTCTTAATCGGAGAAGAAGATTGCTTCGGAGCCTGAATACGACATGGTGTTCCTGAGTCTGGAGCGGTGAAACAGCTCTAGACTGATCTTTTTTTACTTTTGTATAATTCGACATCGTGCTCTGTGCAGATCCCAGCACGCACATTTCATTCCGTCTGCTCTCTCCTATCTTCGTTCTGCCCATGAATGTCGTTCAATGCTAGGAGAAATGGCATTCCTTGTAATCCTGGGATATATTTGTTAGGGCATGTCCAATGATATGGGGCAAGCGTACCAGCTTTTCTGGACCGAAGAAAACTTACACGAAAAAACCCCGAAAGTGGAGCCTGGAATAAGAGGGTCACAACCAACGGCTTTGTGAGTACTTCTGAATAGCATCTACCACTGCGCTTCCCACGGTCTATCCCACTAATATAAAAATGTAGTCAACGAATGATACAAGGCAATTGAAAACGTCGATAACACCGAGAGTGAATTATAGACGAGCTTTCCTAACAAACACAAAGGACTCAAATGCTTGAAAAAATGTGAGAAAATCATAAAACAATAGAGTAAACACATAAGATGAAAAAGTAACTGGAAAGATATAAAAGACTTGGACTACGAAAAACACAAAGTCCTGGTTATTTACAAACGAAGGAGCGGGCGTGGTGCAGTGATAGAAGCGCCTTCCAATATGCGCAAGGCTCTGGTTCGACCAGCCCTGTCTCACGAGGATTTCCATACTTTCGCGTTTACAGAATGGTGCCAACCTTAGTCCATTAACGCTGGTGAGGACCTTAGAGCACTCTACCGAGGTTGACCTAAGATTTCAGGAAAAATTAACTCTAGAAGCTTTCAGCAACATTCATCAAGGAGACTAAAATCCTCAATTAACAGCCGAATCAGCACACAACTTCGAAGACTATTCTGGATGATGGATGACGATGAGTACGAGCAGACGAATAGAATGAACGAATTCCCAGGAAATGTATATATTATATATTTGGTGCCGTGCCATGTAAAAATAAAAAACAGAAATAGAAGATTGCAAAATGGCGCGTCCAGTGATACCTGATTTGGACTCCACTCATAAAAAATTTAGTTGCAATCTCATCTCCCATTTTCGGAATTGGGAGTGATCATAAATATGTTGAAAATGGCGTCTTCACTGTGAAATTTCCGAAAATTTAACGACCAAATGAATAAAATAAAAATACTATATCACAAAAGTTGTCTTTATCCTTTAGGTCCTACGGGGAAATCCTACAAGGTTCTGAAGTACCAAAAATGGAAGATCTTGCTTCCAAACAACTACTGTCTCAAATACAATAACGTCTCGAGTGATAAAATATCCCAAGCGTATAATGTAATTCAGGACAGCACTGTTAGCTATGATAGGACAACAAGCCATGAGCAAGTTTTTGGTTCTCGCTAAGGTTCACTCTAATCGGTAAGAACATTGTAGATGTTATCAGATAAGGTCAAATATTAGTTTTTCAATAACTGCTGACAAAGTTTTGATAACTTGAACACTCAACAGTTCGATTATTTGAAAAAGCTAAGGAAGTGAAGAGAAAGCTATGCTTTCTTAGTGTTCTTTCTCAAACTCTTCGACCGAAGTTTATCAAAGTATTAGTGGAACAAAAAAATCGAACTTATAATGATGATAGAGGCGCGTGTAGCGCAGTGGTCAGAGGCGCCTGCAATACAAATGGGATCAATCTCACGACAGGCCCACCAAACCCTCTATTCACTCCGGATCTGCAAATTGGTACTAGACCTGTCTGGCAGGATAACAGCACTGGCTCGATACATCGGTGGGTCACCATGATTCATTGTAAGACCCAGATGTGCATTCAATCACTTCCGAAGATGCTTAATGAAGTCGAATGCATGGCGTATCCCTCAGGGATTGATCAAAGCAGAAAGCTTTATCGTTCATCCTTTTTATGATGATGAAAGAACCTGCCAACTAATGGTAACATCACAATCAAGAATGCTACCACATTCCGTTGGACCTGCCTGTTTCCGCGTGTCCAATCATTGCTCTATTGAAGAGAAGAGATCCTGCGATAAAAAGCGAAAAAAAAATGCCTCAACGGCTTCACAAGGCTATAAGTTTTTCGCGATGGAATGAGTTGGTATCACGAACTAATGGCACGTATTAAAAGTTCTTACAACATACATCATGCAACATGCATCAAATCTGGATAAACAAACCAGCAGTCTTTGCATCGGGATTATCTTCTACAATAGCGATAATTGTCTCCACAATCGCTTTCTTGTATTCAAAACCACCATCATTCCTTTAAAAACACTTTTAAAAGTTTTCGACACCTCGTAAGTGTTAAAAGTCTTAAAGACCACAAATTAACCTGAGCATGTTAGCGAGGAAAGGCATCATCACTGCATGCTTCCGTGGATAACGTCCACAAAGTGATCGAATAGCATCGACGACAACAATCTGAATACTTTGTTGTAAATTTCTGCGTACTACTTGAATACTTGGATGGCCCGACTGCACTGCTTGCACGTGCTCCAGCAAAATTATCGAAGCTTTGCTGGTTTAGCCACTATGGTTTCTCGAAGTCACAAGGACACCCGGGTCAAAGTCTGCCCTAGGTTATCACCACCAGAGGAAGTTGCCGCTCATGTGGATTAAGTAGAAATTTGCCACCATGCAACTAGTTTGATATCAAAACGGTGGTGGATCATGGCATTCGTTTACTCTTGCCTGGGCTTCCTTATGGAAACGCCGGACTCCTTTTCAGCTTGGGAGCACCAGCTGGGCGGGATGAGTCCCCCCGCTGTACATCGCAGCCGGCACCTAGGAACATCTCTTAGCCACGATTACAAGATAACCCGTTAAGAGGATTTCTGAGTATTAACCAAAGAAATCAAAGACCATAACAATATTGATCTCTCGAGTTCATATTAACAACCACTCACCTTGAACTCGTCACTAATTTCCGACACAAATGAACTAATTTGCTTCATCAGCCGTTCAACGCTGCTTTCTGCGCCAGTTTTCAACAACGTCGTTATTGCAAGAGTAGCGATAGATCTTTAATGGCCAAGAACTACACACGGTTAATTACAACATCATGTTCATCTTATAACTAGAAAAGCTTGCAAGTCCTTATCAACCAAGTAATGAACCCGTATGAAGTGCTGAGATATCTGCAAAACTCCGGACCACAGGTGTATGCAGTGGGGAACGAACACACGCTGTTGTCCTTACCGGGGAGCAGCGCACTTCACCACTACACCATCCGGGTGTTATATTTCACAACATACCCTGCCATTAAGAAGAAAAAGGCAGTAGATAAAAGAGTCAAGTAATGAAGTTTATTTGGGAACTTACCACGAGAAAATCATATGACTACGAGATTCTTATAAACTTCTACTTCCCAAAAGAGAAAGCGCTTTTAAAAACTGAACTACAAAGAAGTTTAGGAATGAGGAAATGCTCTACAAAAAATATTTCACAGTAGTAAATAAAAAGTTAAGCACTACACTTTGTAAAAACTATTCGCTCAACTAAGACCACAAAACGAAGTCTTTCCTGTGGGTTAAGTTACCAGCTTTTCCACTATACTAGTGATTGAAAGACTACCACTAGTTATAGAGACAACCAGGAAGGTCGCAAATGTATCGAAGTGAAAGTTCAAATGGATCCTTCAACCTCACCTGTTTGAATCGGTAATAAGTTTTTCCAAATCCACATTGCAACTCATAACAGCATTTGGATGCTTCATGGAAACCTGTAAAAACAATAGTCAGTGTTTTATTGTTGAACAAACACGAGGTTATTAATATCAAGATTTATTCAATATTGGCTGAGTTATTGGCAGTTCCGCCTACATCAAACCTTAGAAAGGTCGAACTGACACGCAATATATTCAACTAAACACCTTCACAACTGAAGCAGAAAAAAAACTTTATACATAAGTTTATAGGAAGAACACGAGGTTTTAAACTTTTGACCGCATTCTATAGCAAACCAATAAAAACAGTAGGTGACCTGGTTAAGAGTACGAACAGCAGCAAAGCGTAAGGCTGCCTTCGGAGAGGAACAGAATAGTTGGAGCACCGAAATTGCTGGAGTGAATTCAGCGCTGAAAGTACACGGAAAGCCAATCTCAAGGAGATAATCTTTGAGCCTTTTTCTTACATGACTGAGCAACCAGCAAACCTATTTGAAGAAAATATGACACATGAAAGAGAATTACCCTTATTATCCCTGCATTTTAATACTATATAAAGAACATAAAAGCATTTCTGATCTTTGCCCCTGTTTATTTTACCACACAAGGCTCCTTCTTTCCATAGAATGAGTTCCCTGATTCTGCCTCAAAAATACCATGCACTAGTGAGGATGATTTTAAAAAGCGGCATAAATACCGATACAATTTTCAATGCACCTCCTTGTTGACGATGTAGATGAAGTGGCATGCAGCACGGTTGTTAGGGTTGAGGTATTTTGGCTAATATGAATTCAATGGAACTCATAGCGCATGATGCAAAAAGCCAGGCTTACTCATCAGATATTATAAAATGAATATTCTACGTTTAGAAATTTAACGACGATACAGTGATGTTTTAAGCCATAATCTAAATATACATAAACAAAAACTATGGACTTACGGAGTGGTATTTCGAAGAGCAACGATGGCGCTGGCAGCTTCATAAACCACCATTTCACTTTTGTGGCGCAAGCAAGCCTCGATAAATGAAAAAACCGAAGACTCCACCCTAGAAAAGTGTTATACTCATACTCAACACATTCACGATGACGACTATGAGATCCACGAACGACTTATGTATTTTGGGGCAAACTGGCAGAAATCTTATTGGACAAAACTACACATTCACCACGTTGAAGATGCATGAATAGATTAGTTAACGTATCCTCATATTCCCCATTTTTCAATATAACATTGGGCATACAACCATAATGATGCTGAGACATCTGAAAAACTCCGGACTGCAGGTGTCTGCGGTGGGGAACGAAGGCGCTATTACCCACTCGAGGGTTAACGCGTTCGCCAGCACTCCATGCGAGTTCTTCGTTTCGGTTGCCTCTCAGCTAGTTTTCTATATATTAGCAATACACTAGAATAAAACTAACTAGCGTGGAATCTACCGAAACCAAAAAGAACACGTACTGATCATCCTCCTCAATCAGTCGTGCAGCAATACGTATAAGGTAGCAAACTGCATGGGGTGATCTGAACATGGGTAAGTAGCTGGCTAAAAAGCTTAGTAATATCCATCAATTTTTAAAAAAAATCACCTCAGACCAGTCTTGCTGAATTTTTGAACGAGTTTATTCACCGCTAGTTTGTCATTACACCGGATATGGTACAACAAACCCAGGGCATGATACTGAACCATTAGGTTATCCGACGAGACTGCCTCTTGCACCTCGTTAGCCCATCGACGTACCACCTTCAAAGATGAGACTATTCCAAAAACAGCAGTACGACGGCGTAGTGAAACTTTCATCTCATTCAGATATGTCAAAATGACAGCTTTAAAGACTAAACAATATGAAAGCCAAACCAACATCAGCACTTTTCTTCATCAGATGTTTAGACGAAACAAGTGCAGCTGAAGATACAGCGCCATTTTTGTCAACGATTGCCTGTAACCGTACATAAGGATATAGTTAGGACGATAAAAAAGTATTACTCTATAACTTTGATTGCAGAAATTACGACCTGCTTCATATATCTTTCAATGGTCTGTAACATTCCGGTGTCTGTGATTCTACACAGAGCACGAATGGCAGCCGCACGATACACATCTTCTCGACCTGTCATGTCCTGAAAAACATAACATAAAAGAATACGCAAATAAGGTGCCTGAGGGTATGAATTAACCAAGAAAGCAAAAATAACAATAAGGATAAACTGTGACAGAAGATGGGCTTCTTGTAACATACACAACTTAGATCAAATTTCATTAGTTGTAGCTCAAATGCAACCAAAGAGTAGAACAGAAGCCAGCGCCGTAATTGAAGATTTAAGGTAGGACAACTGAGATATACAACAAAGAAAGTGCTATCTTTAACAGCTCAAAAATATTATTTTAAAAATAAATCCCACCTTTGTTAAACTACTGGTCACAATGATGACATCATCGGCTATCCCAGAAAGATCCTTGACGGCCAAATAGACAAGACGACGTAAGTTCGCATCCTTGCTCTGCCACAATTTGGTCACCGCAAAGAAAGCCTCCGTCGCTTCTGTTCGCCCAATGGTTTCTCCTAAATTTTCGTACTTGGGAAAAGCCAAGAACGTGTTGAAAACAAATAGGCGTTGCAAACCGAATAGTACCTTGTTGTATCAAGTACAACAGTTTCGTTAGAATAACACTGCATTTCCTGGCGTTAATTGGCGTTTCGTTGAATGCACGAGCCTGAAAGGAAAAAGAAGCTATTTATAACTAGGTCCAAATAAAGGATAGGGAATAAATCTCTCGACGTTGATCAATCTCTGGGAGATGCGCCATTCATTCGACTTCAATAAGCATCGTTAAAGGTGATTTAATGCATATCTGGCCTTTACAATGACTCGCGGTGGCATATCGACGTATCGAATCAGTACTGCTATCCTCCCAGACAAATCTGTTACCAATTTGCCGACCACGGAAGGATGGAAGGCTCAGTGCCCCAAGGAGGAGAAAATCGATCCCACTTGTATTGCAGGGAGCCTACGTTCAATGCGCTTCACGCGCCCCATAAGTCATAAAGTCTAAAAATCAAGGGAAAAAGCATTCTCGTAGAAGGGCTCTAAAGGGGGAGGATAGCACAGTGGTAGTGGTACTGCTCGTTTTAGTCAACACGTTATATATTTTGCATACAACTACGGATATGTGAAAACAATAGAAATAAACAACCTCCTGAAGAACCGAAGTCTTATCGAGGTGAGCGAACGGATTGCCACTACTTTCCTCGTCCTTCTTTTCTCTTTTCATTGTTCTACTTGGGACCAGCGATAAAGCTGTAATCACTACAGGTAACCCATATCAAAGAAAAAGATAGTCCGAAAATACGAATCAGAACTAAGTCACGAATCACGAAGTACAATGCTTCTATAAACACACATTGATTTAAGTCAATCCCTGCAATTTTTTTCTCGTGAAAGACCAAATTTTCTTTGCCGTGATAGTACTGAAACTTTGTTTTCTTATATTTTTTACCTTTTACATGCCACGTCATCCCAACTACTGTGTGGATCCCAGGAATTCTTGTATTCGATTCACTTCCTTGCAGCCACCATCCACGAAGGTCTTCCGTTTCTTACTTTTTTCTTACTTTCTTACTAATGGGCTACATTACTCACCATAGCGCTACATCCCACTAGCCAATTTTGGAGCATGCATTAAAATACAAGAAAAGCCAAGTGTTAAATTCTGTCTATCACTTTCTGCAATCTAACTGGGAACGCTGTAGCCTGCCTAACTCAAGATTCCAGAGAATTGCTCGACAGGCATTTTACGACATTTAAAGTGATATGAAAATCTTCAAGAAGCAACTGAAGCCATGCATAAAACTTGAAAGATGTTCGTGGCTAACGGATGCAAGGTAAGGAATCGAATCCAAGAAGTTCTGGGATCCACACACTAGATGTGATAACTTGGATACTTGGATGGCTCGTTTTCACTGGTTGTGCGAGCCTTAGCAAAATTTCCATATTCTCGGAAAATTGGTGGTATAGCCATTGTAGTTCCCTGGAGACCCGAAGTCACCCTAGCCAAAGTCTGCTCCAGGTCGTCACCACCACAGGCAGTCGCCGCCTTTGTGGATCAGGGGGAGATTTGCCACCATGCGACTAGTCTGATACTAGCACGGTTGTGGATCCTTGTGCTGGTTTACTCTTAGCTGGGCTTCCTGATGGAAACGCCGGACTCCTGAGGATGGAAGGCTCTCCTGGGAGATGAATCCCTCCGTTGTACATCGCAGCCCGACACCCAGGAATACCACCCAGCCACGATGAGGCGCTAAACTGTTGGGAAGGACGTGATGACGGATCATGTAAAACGTAAAAATGTAAGAAACTAAAACTTCAGTTCTATAACAACGAAAATTTTTTACATTTTACTACTGAAATGTTATAAATCAGGTAGGATATAAAGTAGTATTTAAGTGTTTCGCTCTCCAAGCTGTTACGTTCTCACTACTAAGTTTATAAAGCTAAAAAGAACATAAAGCGTTAGCGTTGATCAATCTCTGAGGAATGCACCATGCATTCGACTTCATTGAGCATCGTTTGGAGGTGACCGAATGCATATCTGGTCTTTTACAATGACTCGTGGTGGCCTAGCGATATATCAAGCCAGTGCTGCTATCCTCCCGGACAAGTCTGGTACCAATTCACCCACCCCGGAGAAGTGGAAGGCTTAGTGGGCCATGGGCCCGGGGATCGAGTCCACGTGTGTTGCAGTGGTGCCTCCAACCACTGCGTCACACGCTCGCTTTACTAAGTTGATAGAAAAGATAATATTCAACAAGGAATCACTAGGTAGTATTAAAGAACAACGAAGCCCTACATTCCATTAGTTTCACTGCATTCCTATAAAAAAGAAAGACAGGCACAAGAAAAGTCATAACTAGGAACCTAGCAACAATCTGAGTATACATTAGACCTCGAACAGAACGCGACACCCAAACATAGCCCTAGTCAAACTTCTAGTCTTTCTAACTCTGGTATCCTGTACCCAGACTGATAAGTTAGAAGACGTATAGAGATAAAGGAGGTAGCAATACCTTAAGCTGGATAACCTGAATAGTCAGGATACCGCCCAGCCATTCTATTGACACGTGTTGTCGTACGAGATTACATGCGACAAACGCTTACTCTTTGCAGTTGCTTGAAATGTCGCTGGAAACTTTTTTACATTATTGTGATCCAGACGGCACCCTGTTTGAGGTGATGCTTGGAGTATCTCAATCGGTAGGACTTCGTTGTTTTAGTAAAGCTGCTGACAAGAACGTCTCAAGGTGAGTTTCAGTGTGTGAGGACTATTCGGGCAGTGTGAATACTATGACCTGCCGACTTTTTTTCTCTAACATTTCCTTCTAAGATCCAGACATCATTCTAATAGTTTGTTACCATTAATGTTGCATCACCTCCTAACGGTTTACCGCCTCATTGTGGCTGGGAGGTGTTCCTGGGTATCGGGCTGGAATATGCAGCGGGGGAATTCATCTCCCCAACAGGGTCTCCCAAGCTGAAAAGGGAGTCCGGCGTTTCCGTCAGGTTGCTAAGTGAAGAGTAAACCAATATCGGAATCCATCACCCCTCTGGCACCAAACTGTTCGCATGGCGATAAATCTCCCTCGGATTCACAAAGTCGGCGGCTGCCTATGGTGGTGACGACTTGGAGCAGACTTTGGGTGGGCTGACCTCGGGGCTCCAGGGAACCGCAATGGCTGAGCCAGCAAAACTCTGAAAAAATGGAGACTACGCAGCGGTCCGCACAACCAGTGAAGACTGGCCATTAAAGAAAATAATTCTTTTTTACATATCGTTTGTGTCATGTAAGGGCCTAACATGTCTAGTATAACCTAACGGACGATATATCGAGGGTGCGGGTAATGTGGTTGGTGCGTTACCCCTGCCTTTGATAGGTTTTCCCCTTTCGATTTATTCTATGTTTTCGGATTTCTTAAAACCATTGCGGCTTTTAGGAAAGTGGTGGTTATTCGGAACCAGAACGTGGCGGCTTGGCATCCAGAACCTTCGTTTCCTTACGAACAGACGAGGCCGTTATTATCGGAAACTACCGAGGATCAGGTGTGGTACTTTTGGCTCTCAGATGGTTAATGTAGGAGTTCCTTCGTTGCACGTCTTGAAATGACGATTAAGGTATAAAAGATCACTTCCTGCTATTGAACCAGCTGTATCCAAAATTGTAGTTTTCATAAGTTTTCGTTCAATACTGGTGACGTTCTCAAGTAGTTTACTGCTTCATCGTGGTTGGTTTTGTTCCTGGGTGTCGAACGGAAATCTACGTTGAGAGTCAGTTCATCTAACACGATATAACAAGCCGAGAAGGAGTTCGATATGGTCATCGGGAAGCACAGCGAGAAGTAAAGTTGTTCCAAGAATCAGTGCTTTCATAGGAACAACATTGTTACTCTCTAGCAGATGAGGACCACATAGGAAAGCTACCTAAGGAGACTTCAAGAGAAAGAAATTTTGCTCAAATTTGTTTGTGATTGTTGAAGATGGTTCCTTTAAGCATTCAATGGTATGTATTCACTAAGCAACTTGTGGTCACAATCCAGTGTAATAACACATCTGTAACTTTAGTGAACTGCTCTAAATCTTGCGCAGACTATATTTTGGGCAAAAACTGATTTTATTTCAAATTACTATGTAAGAGTGTGAGATCCAGTTGTTCGAGAAGCTCAGTGATATGTTTTGAACGAAATAACATGGAAGGAAAATTAATATGTCGACCTCAAAGCGTGCAGTGCCTTAAGCACCACTAATGAGTTCTCCATAAGGCACTTAGTATTCCATTGCATTCGAAAGGTGTTACGAAAGGTTTCCTCACGTTTAGTGTTCACTTGTCTCCCAATGCTCTACCGCTTCATCGTAACTGAGAGGTGTTCCTGGTTGTCGGGCTGTGATTTACATTTCTGATCTTTTTCGCTAATTCATCTCTCCCAGCAAGCCATCCAAGCTGAGAAGAAGTCCGGCGTTTCGGTCAGGAAGCCCAGCTAAGAGTAAACCAGTACCAGGATCAACCACCGTCTTAGTGTCAAGCTGTAAATTAGTGGCAAGTCGCCGTCTTTTACAAGGCAGCGACTTCCTGGAGTGGTGAGGACCTGGGGAAAGCTTTAGGTAGGCTGACCTCGAGACACCAGGGAATTACAATGGCTACACCAGTAATACTCCGAAAAGAAGAGAAATTGTGATGGGGCCCACACAGCCAGTGAATATGGACCATCCAAGTATCCAAGTAAATAAGTAAGTATTATTCACATGGGTACTTAGATGGTCCGTCATGAGTAGTGCGATCTCTAGCACATTTTCCCTCCGCTTTTTTGTCACGCTATCATCATCGATGGTTGTAGCTTTATTCGAGCGTTATGCCCTGATCTATAAACCGTTTGCGCCTGCTTGTGTAGCTTATTTATTTCTCCTAAAAACACATCGGGACATTGTGCAAGTGGACGTCCTATAGGTTTGCTTTCCTCTAGAGTCAATTCCACTGCTGTTTTTTTTCCGTCTATCACCAGCTTTTCTAATTGTATTGCCTGTCCATTTACTTCGCTTTCAATGTTTGTTCTTCTTTGATCTCGAAAATGGAATTACTTTCGAAAGTTCTTAGTGCGGAGTATGGATAGATGTTTTGTGCGATAGTCATATTTGGGAAGACGTAGTTCAAACGCTGCATACATAGTGCCCAGAGTTCCTGCCATGGTTGACATACCAGCCCACGTGTACAAAGCAATGAGAATTAGAGCTGTGGAGTCGAAAGAGTTTTGAGTCTATTAGATGATCACTGGTTTCTCTCAGAGATCTCAACGCAATCCATTCTGTGCAATTTCTTCTTCAGGACGTAATTTTTCATCAATAGCAATTTTGTCGTGACCTTATTCTAGTAGCTATAAAGTGACTTATTCACCACAGTACGGCAAAGAACAGCTTTGGCAACAGGCGATGCCTTGTCGAACCTGTTTTCATGTGGGGATATGAGGGATGGATGTAGAGGATATATTTATAATTCTTTCTACTTCTGTTTAGCAAACATGAGGTGTTATTTTATTTCTTTATTTACGTACAAGCTGACATTTCGGCGGATTTCGACTTCCTCAGAGCCTGGAAAGGTCAAGTTGACTGCGATCTACACGGCCAAACACCTCCATAACCAAACAGAGAAAATGCTGAACCAAAATTTCAATCACATTGAACACAAAGTCTTTGTACACTCACCGCTTTCTTTAGGTCTTCGACTTAATATGTCACGTGGAGACCAACCGCATAGAGTTCACACGGAATCGTATTGTGCCCATCTCACCAGAATAACAGCCTTATATACTGCCCAATATCACGCGTGATAATGAGGCATTCCTCCCTGTGGTTCATTTTCGGATTCTTGGAATTAATCCAGAATACCTCTAGAGTTTTGTGCGCTTGTGTTCTCGATTCCTGCTTGAGGATCGTAACCCCTACTTCAAAATCTTCTCCGTTATGTCTCTGCGTCCTACGCGTGCCTAGTGGAGTATTTGGTTTACGTTTGCCTACTAGGTGTTCTTTTATACGGACGCAGAGTGATCTACCCGTTTCGCCAACATATTCTTCCCTACACGCTTTACAAGAGATCAGATAGACTGTACCCGAACTCATGCAGTCACGTCTCTACCATTGGGACAAATTATGCAGTTTTGCGTTGCACATAGGCGGTCGTATAGGCGGTTACGAACTAGCAGACGTCTTCGATTACCTGTGAAGATTTTGAAGTAGGATTTACGATCTGCGCGCAGGAATCGAGAACACAAGCGCGCAAAACTCTAGAGGTATTCTGGATTAATTCCAAGAATCCGAAAATGAACCGCAGGGAGGAGTGCCTCTTTATCACGCATGATATTGGGCAGTATATAAGCCTGTTATTTTGATGAGATGGGCGCAATACGATTCCGTGTGAACTCTGTGCAGTTGGTCTCCACGTGGCATATTTAGTGGAAGACTCATTGAAAGCGGCGAGTGTGCAATGACTTTGTGTTCGATGTGACTGAAATTTTAGTTCAGCACTTTTTTTGCTTAGTTATGGAGGTGTTCGGCCGTGTAGATTGTAGTCAACTTGACCATTCCAGGCCCTGAGGAAGGCGAAACCCGCCGAAACGTCAGCTTGTACGTAAATAAAGAAATAAAATAACATAAACTCGTGTTTGCTAGACATAAGTAGAAGGAATTGTTCAATCAATGCCGAGGTTAATAGAGTCGGATGTGGGAGTTACTACAGATAGGAATGTTAACTTTTTTATTTTCTGGCTATTATAATTTTTTGCGACAGGGTATTATGTGTGATACAAGCACAGCGATGCTGAGATATTTACAAAACTCCGGGCCGCAGGTGTTTGCGTCGGAGTACGAATGCGCTGTTACCCTTTCCGGGGCTAACGCGTTCACCACCACATTATGCGGGTTCTTCGTTTCGCCTATCTCTCAGTCCGTACTAGTAGGAATGTCGTTACTTTTTATTTACCTCTGCCTATGCTTTTTATTCTTTTAGTGTAGGAATTCTGTTACTGACTAGGTTCTGGTGAGAATCTGATTCTTAGACAAAACTGATAGGATCTCTTTCTTTTCAACGTTGTCGGAGGTTTTTTTTGTAGGCAAGAAATGTTAGTACGAGAGATAGGTAATATTCTTTAAAAACTTCTTCAACCGTGGACACGGGTTGTATGCAGTCTGTGGAGTAGAATCCCTGTCAGAATCCAAGTGACGGAATTTGTTGCGCCTCATCCAAAGTCTTTCGTGTACTCAATAGAATAAACGTTGTGAAGACATTGTAGAGCATGTGCAACAAGCAAACCAGTGGTAGTTATAAAGGTCCGTTCGGTCATCCTTCTTGGGCGAATCACTGCGGGAGGTACTTCATCTTTATAAGCTAAGATGTCATGAAGGGTTGTAAGAAAGGGCTTTGTGGTTGGCAGTTCAAATGATTTCTGTAGTGTTATCTGGTCCTCGTTCTGTGCCCTTCCTCATGCTTTCAGTTGCAACCCATAATTCGAGAAGTAGAATATGATGTGCTTTCTGTTCAGTGGAGATTGCTGTAGTACTTTTCCGTTTTCAACCCACCATAATGGTGGAAAGTAGTAGTGATCTCATGCGTTCATCAGGATTGATAGTTGAATACCATATTCGCAAATGTTCGGACGCTATTTCTTAAAACTGATTCTTTTTGGAGTTGCTTCGAAACTTTCTTCCTGTACTATGGTTATTTGATTTCCGATTTTAGGTGTTCTAGAAAGAAACCCTCAGTGCATGGTCTAAGTATCCCTTTCTTTTGAAAAGGAAGCATTATGTAATCCATTATTTATCCTCTTTTTAAGATTTCGACTCTAAGCTCTATTTTTCCATATTCATACTTATCAAATTTTGTATTTTCACAATCTTCAAATGTCTTTTTACTTTTAAATGAGTCGTTTAGGGCGTTGTGCATCGCTCCAACAGGTGGAAGAACGGGCCGAACAACGTTCAGCTCAAAAACATTTTTTATACCTCTAAGCACGAGTGGTTCACTAGGTTATTGTTGTTGTTCGATCAATGCACTCCACATTCGTCCTTTATTTCACGCGTTTTAGGACCAGAGAAGAACGTCTTCGGAGTGTTGCAGCTCCCACGCCTCGAAAAAACTAGCAAATTTCTCCAGTTTATTATGAGGCTGTGTTCATTATCGTATCGTTCGTTCAAGTTTGTAAATCTTGGTAGGCTACGTTACGCAGAGGGACTAGAACAACAGAAGAAATATCTTGATATTGTGAAGAAACATAAAGTACAGGGAGATTGCTTGTAAGCTTGAAGTATTTTTAAATATATTTCAGATATTTTTCACCGTGCCTTTAGTGGATGTGATTTTCAGAAATTTTCTTCTTGTGGTGGAACATACTCCTGTATATACTGTGGGAATTCGGTCAGAATTATACCCCGAAGATGAAGAGAATAGGTTACGAAGACTGGGTGCTGACTTTCACAGGTATTGTTTCACATTAAGAGCAGTCTCACGGCACTAGGACTAGTTTGAGCTCCATTTATCCTACCGCTACTTATGCTCTGTTAGTTCCTTTTGCAGAACATCTCGCGGCGGGTTAATAACGTTTCATGGTCCGGGGCAGTTAGTGATCTATCCGATATTTGATTTAAAGCGTATCGCTGCACGTCCCATTGGAGTTCGACGATATGTAGAGATGATTGAACAAGTGAGTTTTGTATGCCTGTGTGCCCAGTTCATACTACACTGTTACGCAATGCTGTCAGCATTTATAATTTCTTTAAGCAAATATAAGCTCACGATCATATAAATACATTTGACTGAATCGTGCGGGTTAGGGGTTCACTGGGGCATTTTCTATGTATGAATTATGATTTTTCATGTATGAAAAACATTGTAAAAACAGGGTAGCAGCCTGTTAGGTCCCCATTGCAGATACCAGCGGTCCATAGTTTTACAAATATCTCCAGCTGAGATATTTGCAAAACTCCGGACCGCAGCTGTCTACGATGGGGAACAAACGCACTATTGTCTTTTCCGGGGAGTAACGCGTTCACCACCACACCGTGCGAGTCCTTCGTTTCGCCTATCTCTCAGCTAGTTCTATCGATCATTTGCCGTCAGCAATCACCCGTCAGCGGGATTGATCTGGACAGCCCAAATCGGCAGCGAACCCAGTTAAACTGAGGCTGCAGTTATAATCACAGTTTCAACTTATTATTTACTGCCTATTCTTTTTAGGGGCAGGGTATATTGCGAAATAGAACTTTTAATGATGCTGACCCTGCAGTCCGGAGTTTTGCCAATATCTCAGCATCATTGAATGTTATATTTCGCAATATACCCTGCCGTTAAAAAGAATAGGCAGTAAATAATAAGTTAGAATTATCTCAGCAGCATTATGGTTTTTATGAGAACAATCCGTATATGACTGATTCGTTCCCTTCCCGATTGTGCCATTTTTTTCCTTTTGCGTAAAAGTTTTCTGGCTGTCCTCTTCGTAGTAAATTGGCTGCTTTTCTACAATTATTTTACCCAGCATGCTTCGACAAGAATTTCTTTCGCATCTCAGTTTTGGAACGAATTTGTTTGTCTCGATGGTTTCCTCTGCGAATCTCCCGTTTGCTGTGCAAATGGAATAACGTGGAGACTGTTGCTTTAGTGAAGAAGAAAATGTCTCTGCTGTACTTATGCACTGAAGTCAACAACTAGATACAGCCAACTCTGTATCACCGAAATTATTGCGCGTAAAAAGTGATTTTCTTCGTATTTTTGTTGAGCAAACGCGAGGTGTTACTATTCTTTGTTCACGATTAAGCTGACGTTTCGGCGGATTTCGCCTTCTTCAGAGCCGCTTTCTATGAGGTTTCCACTAAGTATCCATACTATACTATACTAGTATCCATACTATACTATACTAGTATCCATACTATACTGTACTAGTATCCATACTATACTATACTTAGTGGAAACCTCATAGAAAGCGGCTCTGAAGAAGGCGAAATCCGCCGAAACGTCAGCTTAATCGTGAACAAAGAATAGTAACACCTCGCGTTTGCTCAACAAAAATACGAAGAAAATCACTTGATCAATGCCGAGGTTAATAGAAAGTCGGTCGTGGCAGCTTGTAAAAAGGTTAGACATTAACGAAGTGTACTTTCGTCATTATACTACCGCATACTAAGTTTTTGAAAAATTGTAGGTTCTCAGTCCTTGCCTGACATTTTTTCATTTTTTTTTCTGAAGAAGTAATGAAAGCGGAGCAAGAACGAGGCGATATAAATAACTTGCAACAGCATCAATGACGAAGACGATTACGAACAAACTAATTCCTGTCAGCTTTTTTAACTCTGCGACTCCTCTCATCCTAGTGGGTGACTCAGAAACCTGGATGGAGCGTTAGCGACTTGGAAGACCACATTGGGTGTTATCCAGCAAGCTGTCGAAAGAATGCCCCTTAATTGCATCCCTTATTTCACAACTGAGAAATCAATCGGCGATCGGATATCAAACGGAGTGCCGTACATGCCAAGGTATGGATAATAAGGTGAGTCGCAAGAGTTTTAATGATCAGTGGAGGAGAGTTGTTGGTGACTAGCCTCTTCGGAATCTGAATTACACGGTAGGAAGGGCATTGCTGCAGTGCTCAAACTTCAAAATGGTCGTAGAAATAAAATATTGTGCTGTTCTTATTTACAAAACTAGAAGAGCCCAAAGCACTATTTTTACAAGCTTATAAGCTACAGAGACAAATGATATATTCCGTGTGCTTGCGCGAGCCACAATACAGTCACTGTGGGGAGATGGCGTGTTTATACGCATTTTACAACCGTTATATTCCGCATTCTTTACAGTTAGCATTTTCAATAGCTCAGTCAATGTCCACTATTTGCGCGTTTTAAGCAGAGGAATACTTTTCCTTTAAGCAGCACAGTGGTTTCATCAGCACAGGCGTTTTTACAAAGACTGTGGACTCTTTAGCTATTTGTACCGATAACTTCCATAAATGGGCTAATATTGTGCAAAATGCCTAGTGCATCGTAGGTGCCACTAGCGGACAAATGGGAATGAACCAAGAGCTTTCCAAGTCTCTCTCTGCTCATCACTTTTAACTCAATAGAATCAAATTCAGAAGTAGGACAAGATCTTCAGTACTCTAAGGACAAGTTTCGTAAATGAGCTTATCTGGTATAATGTTATTCATCATGCAATAGAATCGAATAAAAGAATAAACTAGGATCTACAGTAACCTCTCTACTTTGGCAGTATAACAATTCCAATGTGAAGGCATCTTTTCATCTCTTTGACAGTTTTCAGTTCGTTCAACTTCTCGTTCTCTTTTTCATATCTCTCTGTCTTTTTTTTTTTTACAGTCAGGTCCTAAATATTCGTCATAGATAATCCATAAGAATGCTTTGATTCTTTGTTTCGGAGCAGAATAATTGATCCACTTCAGATTGTTATGGGAGTTCCGAGGACAATGAGAAATCATTGTTTGAAAATTTATTACGCAGATCAGCGTTGCTACATTCGTCCTCATTCAGATTCTTCACACTGTTCAATTGGAGGCACAGTAGTTTGTCCATTATCTTCAGAATCTTTATCTCTCTGTTTATTCTGGATGAGTCCATCGAAATTGGAGTCGCCGTTGTGGTCAATGGTTTTGGTATGGAATGTGTGGATTCAAAAACTATTGCAAAAAATCCAGAGTTGTACTCATTTTGTGTTTGCAACACTGCCAAAAGCCGATAGTACTGTTCACCAGGTTTTTTTTTGTCACGCACAAAAAATGGGAATGTTCAAGAACTATTCAGAATATTGACGAACCCCCCCGCTGACGGGTGATTGCTGTGGCAAAAAGATCGATAGAAATAGCTGAGAGACGTGCGAAACAAAGGACCCGCATGGTGTGGTGGTGAACGCGTTACTCCCCGGAAAGGATAATAGCGCGTTCGTTCCCCACCATAGACACCTGCGGTCCAGAGTTTTGCAAATACGTTGTGGTTATTCAGAATATTATTTTTTTTACATCGATAAGAAAAAGAAAGTTTTCAATTAATCAGTTTCTGAGGGATACGCCATATATTCTGCTTCAATCATCGTAGAGCTAATTCAATGCATATCTGGTCCATGCAATGAATTACGCTAACCTACCAATATATGAGGTTGTTCGGAGAGTAATGCACTATTTGTAGTTCTATTTTTCTCATATCATATGTTTCACCAAGAATTTTTTCGAATAGTGTACTCTTATAGAATATTGAAAAGCTTATTTCTTGCACTCCCGCTCAGTGTGATTGAACTTTAATATAAATTGTACTTGTGGCAAATTTTAACCCGTAACGTACGCGGGGCATTTGGAGCGGCTGGCCCAGTGAATTACGAACAATTCTTCGTCGGCTGCGGATGCTCTCATTTTTTGACAATAAAAAATAGTTTTTCAGTAACTTCAAGCCATAAGGGGATGTGAATATAACACTATTGTAGAAGAGACTTCACCCTATCGTTTTATTGGTATGATTGATATGTTTGCTGCTATTTAGTATGTGTTACCGTGCTCCATATTGCAAATACATTGCTAGCGGCATTGGGAAGTATTTTGAGGCCTATATTTGGTCTATGTTACTATTTTTACATCCGCACATTCCTTATAATAATGTGGCGATTAAAATGATATAACAGTTGATTGTTAGTCAAATTACCGCTTAACAAACTATTTCGAAGAAATGTTTTTTGTAAATCGGCAAATGTAGTGAATGTCTGTTCTGATCTCACGCATATTTTGAGCTGCTTTCGATTAGTAATTGTATGAATATAATGTGCTAAAGAAATTCTGGAACACATTAGATTATAAATGGGCACCATAGTATCCATATCATTCTTGTGATCAGGGATGTATGAATACTATAGTGTTCATAACAGAGATTATGGGTTAAAGGGTAAAATTTCAAGTGTTAACACACCAATATCGACAAATCTACTTCTAAGAATTCAAAGTCGGTCGTTGTACGACCCAAACAACTCGATACAGTATTGAGGTATGAGACTAATGATGAAGAAGTGTTAATGAATACTTAGTACGTTGGTTTCAAAAGATTTATCATGACAAATTTGGCAACTCGATGAAATTGGTCGCGGATGTCCTTCAGCCATTGACGGCGGTGAATTGAAGGCTTTGATGCAACAAATGCACACATCTGTTTGAGAATTTACAGAGAAACTCGACGTGAGCACCTTAGCTGTTTCGGAGCATCTAAAGAAAGCTGAAGTATCGAGAAAGCTTTACAATGAATTCAGTGGAGCGAACCAATCTTTCCCCACAACAGCATGCGTCAACACGTTGCACCACGAATGCAGCAAGGTTGAATGAGCTGCGCTACGAAACTCAATTTCACCCACCATATCCGTCAAACTTCTCACCTATTGCGAGAAGTCCATCAGAAACCAAGCTGAAGTCGAAGCTACCTTAAGTAGCTTCATCACCAACAAACTCCTCAGTAATATTTCGAAACCGATTTTCTTTGATGAGCTCACGCGAGGTTGATAATGATATTTATTTCCGGCTAACGTTTCGACGTCTTCGTCTTCCTCACAGCCGATGATCCGAGTCGATGGTCCACGCTTGTTACTCGTCTCGACGTGGCAGCTTTGCCTTCGTGTCGAGTTAAGTCTTCCTCAGTGAGCCATCTCCTCGAATGAGGCATCCTCACTCATTGATGCCCTTTTATGCAGGTTGCTGATGGTGGACAGCTGTGATTGTCCGGTGATAGCGTGATAATAACTTGTTTTTCCCGGACAATCAAACCTGCAGAAGTCGGTGTTATTATCAGTTAACACAAAGCATAGTAATATTTCGAAACCGACTTTCCCTGAACTGCATAAAACGGCAGGGTAATATCACTAAGTGAGGATGCCTCATTCGAGGAGATGGCTCACTGAGGAAGACCTGACTCGACACGAAGGCGAAGCTGCCACGCCGANAACCTGCAGAAGTCGGTGTTATTATCAGTTAACACAAAGCATAGTAATATTTCGAAACCGACTTTCCGTGAACTGCATAAAACGGCAGGGTAATATCACTAAGTGAGGATGCCTCATTCGAGGAGATGGCTCACTGAGGAAGACCTGACTCGACACGAAGGCGAAGCTGCCACGCCGAGACGAATAACAAGCGAGGACCATCGACTCGGATCATCGGCCCTGAAGAAGACGAAGACGTCGAAACGTTAGCCGGAAATAAATATCATTATCAACCTCGTGTAAGCTCATCAGAGAAAGAATACATAAGTTCTCCAGTTTTATGCAGCAGGAATAAACAAACATTTTGTACGTTAGCAAGAACGCAATAGTTTTTATGTGAATTAATAAAATTTGGTCTGACCTGAAATGTCGCACCGACTCCGATCTGGGCATTACAGGACACTTCTAACCACTACACTACACACTCCTACATGCCTTGCATCTAACTTCGGTAAAAATATTTAATATTTTGATCTATTCGTGGGCTCACACAAGTTTTTATCAATTTTCACTGCGTATTGTAACGTTTCGTCGCCATCGCCTTCTTCAGAGTCTCAATGGTATGAAGGTCTACAGCAACAGTGGTAATTTCTTCCCATATGGGTGTGCAGAGTTGCGTATAGTTGAACCGAGTGCGGTGGATCAACGTATTATCAGTAGAACATGATCAGGACATAAATGGATTAACGGGAAATATGAAAGCAAAAATGAACAGGGAATAAAATTGGCTGTAGCACGCATCGAGAAGTTATTTGTTATTCCACGCCCCACCAACGAAAGTTAGGTGTTGTTAAGAATATGTTAACAGATGAGACGATTTTATGAGTTAGGATGTGTACATATAAATTAAGGTGGTCATCGAATGCGCATCTTTCGACTTTGGGATCGCTGATGTCTGTCGAACAGAACACCCAGGTCTCTATGGTTTCGTAATCTTTATTCTTAGTTAAGAACAGGATCTGTTTCATGCGAAGAAGGGTTAGCCAGAAGTGCACTGATTAGGTGCAAGTGTAGCTTTTTATTTTTGGTTTATTGGCATTTGGCGAGAATTTTGTTTGCGGGAGTGGGTAGCAGAGTGGTAGTGATGGGGAGTACGATGCTGGTTCAATCCCGCAATAAGTTAAGCAAGCCTTTGATCCCTTCGTGGTCGGTAATTTGGCACAGGACTCGTCCAGGAAAAGTCACTGTCCGCAATCGAATTGGAAACGCACTAGCCCGACTATCGCAGGACTTCAGTGAGAATTGACTCAATCAGCATTCTATTAGGTTCAAGTTGAAATGAAAATCTTCAAGCAGCAGCCGAAACCACACGTAAAAGTTGGACGACTTTGGTGGGTGATGGATGCGAGTGAACGAAATGAATGTGAGAATTGCTGGGATTTTGGTTACTCTTCCTCATGCTCTTGTCATTGAATTTGCAGCACACCATCTACACATCTTATACAGTTCCATTTTATTATTGTTCGCCATTTCAAGGGTTTGGTGTGAATACGATACCTGATTTTTTCAATTATTACTTAAAGCCAGTGTATTGTCATTCATTTACTGAAAGTTGAAAAAAAACTCGGCGTTGATTTATCCGAGAGATGCCCCATGCTTTCGATTTCACTAAGCATCGTTAGAGGTGATTGAATGCATATATGGCTTTTACAATGACTCCGGTGACCTACTAATGTATAGAGTCAGTGCTGGTATCCTCCCAGACGAGTCTGGTCCCAATTTGCCGACCTGGAAGGGTGGAAGCTTTGGTGAGCCTGAGGCACGTGAATCGTTGCCTTGTGAATTTCAGGCGACTCCGACCACTATATACGCTCCAATAGTGAGGGTTAATACACTTAAGGCTAGTTTAGAACAGATTGATGTTTGCAGGTGTGTGGGTTGGTGGAAATCGAAAGCTGGCTACTCTTGGAGTTGCAGTGTCGCATGGAGTTTCCTATCATGGTTTGGCGCTAAATTGTAACACCGACTTGACGTGGTACGATTATGTGAGTTAGTAGTGAGAGGAATGTTCTCGATTTGCAATGAAACATTTATTTATCTTCTTTTTTAGT